CCGACCCTTACTTCTCCCCTGGACGTCAGTTTTCTTATTAATTTTCAATAAAATGTCCCTCCCCCATATGGAATTGTCACAGTGAACACCGCAGTGTTCCTCGGGAGTGTGTGTAGGTGGATAAGCACGGCGGTGGGTAGGTGGGTTCAATAAAATTGGTATCTCTTCCAACTGAGTATCCCCTGCTGGGTCATGGCCATGGTTAGACAGGTCTGCTCTTCTGTTGGGAGCCTACTGTTTTGTTGACGGAGAGCTAAGTTAACATCTTATCCCAGCAGTCAACTCAGTCTGGGACAAAGAAACCTCTGATCTTTGAACGTTTCCCTTTCCCAACTGTTAGGTGATTCCTTACAAACCATTAGGGAAAGAAGGAGAGGGGTTCTCAGTACTAGGAAATTTATATCCAGAAGAGGCCCAATTGAGAAAAGCGTAAATAGAAGGGACAGCAAGCCCTGGAATGCCCCCAGAACTGGTTGAGAAAGAGCTTTTGCATTTACATAACCATCAGCTTTCTTAAGGTAAAGGAAAACTTGCCGATAATTTCTGGTAAGTTAGATCTGCAAGGTTAACACTTCAGGCTCTTTGAAGTACTTATTCCCTTTTCAATGACTTGCCTAAGATGAGGATTTGCAAATTCCAGGCAGCAACAGTAGCTCTGGTTATGACTTGCGGTTTGGCTTCACAGAAATGGGAACTAAGCCTGTGTTTATGCCTCTTCTTGAGCAGTAATGTGGGTGGTCCTAAAAAGTGAGCATTTGAAGGAAGTAATCCAGGTTGGTTTGGTACCTTTCTCTCTTTAACACTTAACTGGAACCAATTTCCTCCCACCCCCTGTAACCTTGGACTTCATACAGGATGCTGTTACTCGCCTGAGTTCTCTTGATTTAGATGGTGGTGTCCTTCAGGGCTTGCTCATAGCTTAGACACTCTTGGTTGTGGGGCAACCTGACATCAAAAGCCCCCAGCCCCACCCGCAAGCACGCGCCCCCCAAACCTCTCTTTTTACCTGTCGTCAACTTCCTCCTTCTCTGACTAATCCAGGGAAAGGTTTGATTTTCTTCTCCTCCCCTTGCTTTTCTGGTGACAAGAACGAAAAGAGAGCAATTATAGGCTGTCTATGGCTTTCTCAACAACTTCACTCAGCCTGGCTGAGCCTTGTAGGAACCACAATTTCTGGCTCATCAGGAAAGTTTGTATCTTCACTCTGATTCGGGACTTCACCTTTTATAGTGCTCCGGCTTATTCTAAAAGTACTTTGTAAAATGGCCCGCAGGTCATCCAAAGCAAAACCTACTAATGTATATTTACACTGGATTTTAACAGAAGAGTGAAGTGGTTTACTACAATCAGCAATGCAGTCAAGCTCTTTCACTATGAAAGAACTCAGGTCTAGGAGTCATCGGCCTGGAGCACTGGTTCACAAGGCAGGAGACATCTTTGGTTGTCATAACTGGGGGGTAGGAAAAGGGGTGCTATAGCATCTAATGTGTGGAGGCCAGGAATGCTACTTAACATCTTACAATGTATGGGACAGTCCCCACAAGAAAGAATGATCCAGTCCAGAGGTGCCTGGTGGGCTCAGTTGGGAGAGGATTCAACTCTTTTTTTTTTTTTTTTAATTTTTTAACGTTTATTCCTTTTATGAGAGAGGGTGGGGGAGGGGGAGGGAGAGAGGGAGACACAGAATCTGAAACAGACTCCAGACTCCAAGCTGTCAGCACAGAGCCGGACGCGGGGCTCCAACTCCCAAAGCATGAGATCATGCCCTGAGCCAAAGTCGGACGCTTAACCGATGGAGCCACCCAGGCTCCCTGAGAGAGCATCCAACTCTTGGTCTCAGGGTCACGAGTTGAAGGCCCACGCTGGGTGTAGATATTGCTAAAAAACAGTGTGTAAACTCTAAAAAAAAAAAAAAGAAGAAGAAGAAGAAGAAGAATGATCCAGCCCCAAATGTCAGTGTTAAGAAACCTTGGCTTCTCGTAATTCACCTCCTTGTGAGCCCTCCAACCGTAGAATTGGTTTTCCTCTCTAGATGCCCTGTGCCCACCTCCACAGGTGTCCTGGGCACATCCCACTTGACAATGCCAGGCCCTGGAAGAGATGCCGGGTCCTGCTCCAGACACGAAGTTATGCCTTTTGGGGTTGGACCCAGCCATCTTCCCACCTGAGGATCTGCTCACTTGGCCTTCACATTCTGCTCACTCTTTGGTGTTCCAAATGTTTCTAAAGGGGCAGAAGTCTAATATACTAAGAGTAGCTGTCATCAAGAAAGAACCACAGTGCAGAGGGCCTCTCACAACCCCTGTGGGAGGGAGAAAAGAGCACTTGAGAGCCGGTCCCCACCCATCCTGTGTGGCACTGAGCCAGCCAGCCTGGCGGACACTGCCAGCCCTGCCCCCCCCCCCCCCGGGGGGGGTGCATTTCTTTACTTCAGAATCTAAGAGGGTAAAAAAGTAGTCTGTGAAAAAAAAATAGGTACTACCCACCAGATTCTATTTTTGCAGTGATTGCTCCAAGTTGCAGTGATATGCTACAAGTGGGCATAAACCTAGGTTTTCCTTGAGTGTTACCAGCATATTCGAAATTTTCCGTCTTTTGTATTCATATTACTAAGACTAAGTAATAGTCTAAGACTATTACAGACATACAGACTAAGGCTCTTTCCCTCTTTAGTCTGATTCCAGAGCCCTCGGGGGTTTTGGGGGAGTGGGCAGCACGGGGTCCTTCAGGTCCTCCCGGGTCGGATTTGGGCTGCAGGTGGGAGCCTTGCCCGAGCCTCACTCAATGCGTGGAAGTTTACACAATGGCTCGACTTCGTGTGGTCCGGCTGATTCATCCATTTGGCTGTTTGACGTCTGCCTCTGGCCCAGCCAGGACAGAAGGGGGCCCCTTAGGAACTTCTGGCCCCGTTCCCTCTCCAGGGGACGCACAATAGGGCTGTGATAAGACAGGGTTTGAGGGGGAAGTGGACTTTTGGAAACAGGATATTTTTAAATTAGAGAGAGAAACAGAAGGGTTGTGACTCCCGTTGTGACAGGTGGGCCCCAAGACCGCCCAAGACTCAGAAGGGACTGGGTTTGAGGTTGGGCGGCCTCGCAGAGCCCGAGGCCCCTTGGAGTGCATCCACCTAGTAGCCCTGAGGACTCGGGTCCGGTAGGTTATGGCCCTCCTGCCATTGCCTCTTCCACCTTCAAGACTGGCTGCCACCCCCAACACCCACATACGCTCTGGGCGCCTTTCCCAGACAGCAGGAGGTCCCCATGGTTTCTCTGTCTTCAGGCCTGTGTCCTGCATGGACTGTTTGGGGAATCAGCCCCAGCCGTGTGGGCCACTGCCCGATTAGAAACTGCAATGGGTGGGGGCCTGCTCCTTTCCAAGGGCAAACCACAGCCCTCTCTCGCCTGTTGTAGTGAAAACCGGCTCTAACACTGGCGGGATGGCTCGCCCCCCACACAACACCTCCTGTTCTCCTTGGCCTTTCTTCACCTGGCTCCGATCTTCCTGACATTTGGAAGGACCTGACAGGCCCATGTTCATCCTTGCAGCCTGGCTGGACCAGCAGGTCCTGGCGTGCACCCTAGCAAGAAGACAGGGTGGCCTATGGGGGAAGGGGGAAGAGGTGGCCCTGTCATTCCAGGCAGCGCTTGGGCTGTCTATCCCGAGAGTGGTGGCAGTGTTTATACCTTCTCCGCCCCTGCTCCCACTTGTGGGGATGGAGAAGCTACTACAAAATAAGGAAATAGCCTTATTCCCAAAGAGGATGTGGCAGCACTATTTACATCTTTTTTTAAATTAAGTTTCTTTATTTATTTTGGGAGAGGGAAAACAGGAGCCGGGGAGGGACAGAGAGAGAGAGAGAATCCTAAGCAGGCTCCACGCTGTCAATGCAGAGCCTGACGTGGGGCTCGAACTCAAGAAACCGTGAGAGCATGACTTCAGCCGAAACCGAGAGTCGGACATTTAACTGACCGAGCCACCCAGGCTCCCCTGGCAGCACTATTTAAAACAGCAAAAACTTGGAAAGAACCTAAATTTCTAAAGTAAGGAGCTGGATAAGTAAACAATTGTACACCCATTGAATGATTATTACACAGGCCACTCCCAAGTATGTTTAAGAAGGTACCAGGAAATGTTTATAAGATCACGTTATGTAAAAAGGATAGGCTAGAAAATGGCGTATGTTGTATGTTATGACTCAGAACCAAGAGCCTACGGGAGAGCAGAAAAAGACTGGGGGACAAAAGTGTCAACAGGGTTTAAAGAATGGAACAAGAGATCATGCTTATCGGCTACTTTCTACTCCTCTATAGTTTTCAGTTTTTTTCTTGAAATAACCTGAAGTACTAATTAAAAAAAGAAACAACAAAAAAAACCTGCCGGGACGCCTGGGTGGCTCAGTCCATGAAGCATGCGACTCGGGTTTTTGCAATCATGAGTTCCAGCCCCACATTGGATGTAGAGATTACTTAAAAAATAAAATAAAATCTTTGGGCGCCCAGGTGGCTCAGTCGGTTAAGCATCCTATTTCAGCTCAGGTCATGATTTCACTGCTCATGGGTTCGAGCCTCGCGTCAGGCTCTGTGCTGACAGCTCAGAGCCTGGAGTCTGCTTCAGATTCTGGGTCTCTCTCTCTCTGCTCCCCCCCCCCCCCCCCCCCCCCCACCCCACCAGCTCACGCTCTGTCTCTTCTCGCAAAAATAAACAAACATTAAAAAAAAATTAAAAAATAAAATAAAATCTTAAAAAAAAAAACTGTTTAAAATGTCCAGTGAGCTTCCAGGGATTTTAATATGCTTGTCACATGGAGTATAGAGCCCAGAGGAAGCTGTCTGTGGGCAAAGGAGCCATACAGCTGAGCACCCAGTAAAGCTCTGGTGTCTCCTTCTGCACCGCCCCACCCCCTGCCTTTACCCATGGGGTTCCTGAGATGGTTGGGGGGCGGGGGGAGCCTGATGTACTCTCTGAATCGCTCACCCTCCATGTTATGCTTTGTTTTGCAGATTTCGTGGAAAACAGATATTCTGTAAGTACACATTTCACAAACAATTTTTAAAAATGGTCCATTGAACAGTGAACTATTTCCAGACTCAGCCAGGTTCTGCATTCCCACGAGTCACACTCCTACAGCGGCCTGGTCTGTTTTAGACCAGGAGCCCCGGGCAACAATAGCCTAGATGTTGTATGGAGGGTGTTTGGTCATCGGGCTGGCCAGGTTTTCTGGGCCTGGCGACTTCAAATATTCTCTCCCACTGTTTCCATCCTTGCATCTCAGCCCTCATACGAAGAGAGACCCCCTCAAAGGATCAGGAATCTAGAACATATAGCCCCCCTTGAGCGAAGTGCACGTTTCCTCCTAGTTCAGGTTCAGGCTTTGGAAGTGAGGCAGACATTGTTGTGGGGTGGGGGGAATGCTTGGAGTAAGGGAGGATCTAACAGTGCATTTGAACTTTGAACTCTGAGAGCCTATGCCAGTCACCCTGACACACCAGGTCCTCTGCTGCAGAGGCCACTCAAGGTCCTTGACCCACAGAGGGAATCAGATGAGTTAACACGGATGAGAAAGCAAGGTGATGATAGCTCACCAGAAGCTATGGAAACGCAGAAGAAAGACGGTTCTGGTTAGGGTCTCCTCCCCACGGAAGGGGTCACTGGGATCGGCCGTGAGGAAGGGGTCCAACCACAGCAGCAGGCCCAGGTAGAAAGATCAGCAGGAGTAGAGCCACGAGGGAAGGAACAGTCCAAGCAGCTCAGGGTGATAGGAGAAAGGACATCCAGGAGAAGCACTAGGAAGAGGTCAGTTAGGGCTTACATGCAAAGGACTCAAACACCTCATTATGGGGTTTTCCTTTTTTTTTTTTTTTTTTTAATTAACATTTATTTATTTTTTGAGAGTCAGAGAGAGCACGAGCAGGGGAGGTGCAGGGAGAAGGAGACACAGAATCTCGGAAGCAGGCGCCAGGCTCTGAGCTGTCAGCACAGAGCGTGATGCAGGGCTCAAAGCCACGAACCACCGTGAGATCATGATCTCAGCCAAGGTCGGTCGCTTAACCGACGGAGCCACCCAGGCGCCCCTGAGGTTTTCACTCTGTAGGAAATTGAGGATTTAGGATGCTGCTAGTTGGCAGATGGAAATATATACTTTTTTAATGTGGAGGTCCAAGTTCAAATTATGCTAAGACCTGTCTCCTCCTATCTTCCCACTCCCAACCTTTTGAAGAACTACCCAGTAGTTCAGGGGTTAACTAACTGGGCAGCTGGTATCTTGAGAAATGAGGAGCCGCTGCTTTAAGGTCTGGGAAGAAAGAACCTTCGGCAAGATTGCGGGTAGCCTTTCCAATGGGCCCCCTGGCTTCCTTTGTTTTGCTGGAGTCTGAATTCTTATAAAACAGAGAACTCATTATGCCTTTGACGGCAGGAAACCACTGACATTCTTCTTATGGAGGAAAGCTATCAATTTAAGGAAAAGAGGGATAAAACGAAGGTCTTTTTCTAGCCTAAACCCACCCCGACTCCCGAAACCAGTGACTTGCCTTAGCAGAGCCAGGACTAGAACCTGGGTCCCCAGATTCCTTGGCTAGTCCACAACACAAGACTCCCTCCAAGAAGTGACATCATTGTTCCAGCTATCATGGCCTTGAGGGAGTGGAAAGTGAGATCTTTGCTCCATAGGCAACGTGGGACCCAGAAAAAAAGATGCTCTCCCGCTACAATAAACATAGCTGTGTCCTCCCCAGGCAAGTCTGTTGGACCTGCAGGACTGACTTATTTACTTTGTCTGCAATCCAAACGGTCTCTCTGGACAAAGGCTCTGAGCTCCAGGACAGATAGAACTTTCCTTTTCCCCCAGGAGCTGACCCGTGGATCCAGAAGTCTGCTCCCAGGATGCTCCTGAGAGCTCCCCCACCAGCTGGTCCTGCCCTCCCAAATAATAAAGACTTTTGGCGGGAGCTCAGGGCTTCCCAGCCGTTGGGAGAGAGATTTTGACGCTTTAAGCGAATATAATTTGTTTAGAAAAGAAGGAGGTATAGTTTTCCTAGTAATCAGCTGGTGAGGGTCAGGAGAAAATTAATCGAATTGCCCAGCAGGGAAATGGGAGGGGATTTCCTTCCTGAAATCAAACCTGGCGATCATTCCCAGTAGTTTAATGGCCGTTGCTTCTGAAAACACATTGGAGGAAATATCTTAACAATGAGATAGCCGCTTAGCCAAATACTAATTTAGTATTGTTTGACTTGCTTCAATGGCACATTCTGACTTCATTTTTCCTCTGCCATTTTTGCCTTGTTTATAAATTGTGTTTGTGGCCCAGGCAGACAGATAATGTGAAAGAGAACACCTTGTACTTAAAAGAAAGGGGTGAATCTGGACCTTCGTGGGTCTCGGGATCTTGGAGACAGCCTTGTCTTCTTACGGAAAAAAAGGCGGTTCCCAGTTACAGCTCACCCCCTTCCCTCCTGGGAGCCAGCAGTGGGAACTGGAGTCTGAGCTTCAGCTCTCTGGCCATCTTTTGGGTGATCCTGCCCTCCTCCAACTAAGCTTTCCAATTCGTGAAACAGAGATGGTGAGAACCCCAAACACAGTAATAGCTCCCTACTAGAAGTTTCTTAAAGGTAAAATGAGGAACACATGTACAAAGTATTTTGCAATGGACCACATAAATGCTACTTGATGGTCTGTTTAAAGTTCTTTTCATCACTCTGGCAATATGAGGCACGAATGGGAGACTTACTTCATTTTGGCCCTGAAATGCCTCTTCATAGGATTCACCCAAAGCCAGGCTTTGACTTGGGAATCAGAGACCCATCTTAAAACTTAACCTTTCCATGATTCGCTGTTTACCAGCTGAGTCACGCTGGGCAGATGTCTCAGGGCCTCTGTTTCCTCATCTGGAATTGGAGATAATAACCACCCCCACCCCACCTGGTTGTTGCAAGGATTAAATGAGCACCTATCACAGACTTGGTTTATTGGAAGTGCTCATAAGGGGCACATTCTATTTTTATTTTAAGTTTATCTATTTTTTAAAAAAATTTTTTTAAAATTTATTTATTTTTGAGACAGAGAGAGAGCATGAACAGGGGAGGGTCAGAGAAAGAGGGAGACACAGAATCTGAAACAGGCTCCAGGCTCTGAGCTGTCAGCACAGAGCCCGATGTGGGGCTCGAACCCACGGACCGCGAGATCATGACCTGAGCCAAAGTCAGACGCTTAACCAACTGAGCCACTCAGGCGCCCCAAGTTTATCTATTTTTTGAGAGAGGGAGTGAGTGGGGAGGGGCAGAGAGCGAGGAGAGAGAGAGAGAGAGAATCCCGAGCAGGGATCTCAGTCCTGGACTTGAACCCACAAACTGTAGGATCATGACCTGAGCTGAAACCAAGAGCTTAACTAACTGAAAGACCAAGGCACCCCCCCCCCCCATAAGGGGTACATTCTAGAATCAGGAAGTAGAAAACCCAGGGGTGTTAGAAGTAAAATGGCCTTTGAGAGCATCTATACCATGTTCTGGCCCGAAGTGGGGCGATTTCATGGCTGTTCTTGGGTGGCTGACAGCTGGCCTCTGATTTAGGTACAAGGAAGGACAGGTCTTGGATGTGAGTATGTTAACCATTACTTCAAGGTCCGGTTGACTGTGACCCAGCCCTTCCCATCCGTGGGGCCAGTCCTGCTGCAGCTACCGAGTGCTTGCCTCGCCTGGCGGAGGAGAGCGGAGGCGTTTAGGGAGGGACTTGGTCTGGGGCCTCCAGGAAGCCTGGACACCAGGGTCACCCCTCTGGGCAAAGCGGAAGAAATGAAGGTAGCTGCCAGCGCTGGCGGGTCTCCAGCCCCTTGGGGCCAACACAGCTCTCTTGGCCCGGTTGCCAGGGTCTCTCCTGGCAAAGGCAGAGGCAGAGCCGTGGCCTGCCAGCTGGAGCCCTTGGGACCCGCATCCTGTTCTCAGAGGCTCCTCAGATGCTCAGGGACCAGAACAAAACGGGGACCTCAGCCCCCACCGTCAGAGAGCCAACCAGCCTGGCCATGGGGCTCCCAAGACGCTGGCTGATCCCCACAAGTGTCCCCACTTGTGTGCCCACGAGGTCCACCTGCACTCACAGAGGGTCGGGTCACGGACTCATTTGCTGTCTGCCTCTTGGGGCCCAGGGTGCCTTTGCTCCAGCATTTCCATCTGCCCCGCTCTTGCCCCCATGCTGCAGCCATTCGTCCAAACCTGCCTCACCTTGGAGGCTGGCTCCACGAAGCCTTCTGTGATTCCCTCGTGGTACAGCGAGGGCGTCTCGCCACCTCTGAACTCCTGCCGTTTGTTAGGACCTTTCCCACGTGCTAGCACTGTTTGTCAGTAACGGATAGGATATAAAATTCCTGGCAGGTTCTTGCGTCCTCGGTATAGATAACAGTACTCGGGTCAGATGGGGGTCCATTTACTGGTGGATACGGAGGTGTCAACAATATCACACAAAGCAGTTAGAGAACACTGCAGGATGGCGTGCGGAATCTGGCTTTTGTTTTTGTTTTGTTTTTTACTTTTTTTCTTGGGGAGGGGGCAAAACAGACACAACAGAAGGTACCATTTTAACCATTGTTAAGTGTACCGCTCAGTGACCTTAAGTACATTCACATCGTGTGCAACCATCAGCACCATCCACCCACAGAACTTTGTCATCATTCCAACCCAAAAGTCTACCCATTGCACACTCATTTCCCCCTTCCCCGCAGCTCCTGGAAATCACAGTTCTCCTTTCTAGCTCCATCACTTTGACTACTCTGGGTACTTCGTGTAAGTGGAATCACACAATATTTGTTCCTCCTGCGTCTGGCTTCTTCCGCTTCTTCATCTTTATGGCGATAAGCATCCTCAGTGTTTATCCGTGTGAAAACTCTTTGATTTTGCGATTAAAAAAGAAAATGGGCTGGGCGGGGGGGTGGTGCCTGGGTGGCTCAGTCGACTGAGCATCAACTTCAGCTCAGGTCATGATCTCACAGTTCGTGAGTTCGAGCCCCGCGTCGGGCTCTATGCTGTCAGCTCGGAGCCTGGAGCCTGCTTCCCATTCTGTCTCTCTCTCTCTCTCTCTCTCTCTCTCAAAAATAAATAAAAAACATTAATTAAAAAAATTTTTTTTAAAGAAAACGGGGGTGCCCGGGTGGCTCAGTTGGTTGAGCGACCTACTTCCACTCAGGTCATGATCTCCCAGTTTGTGAGTTCAAGCCCCACGTCAGGCTCTGTGCTGACAGTTTGGAGCCTGGAGCCTGCTTCGGGTTCTGTGTCTCCCTCTCTCTCTGCCCCTAACCCACTCGCAGTCTGTCTCTGTCTCTCTCAAAAATAAATAAACATTAAAAAAAAAAAAGTTGAAAAAAAAAAAAGAAAAGAAAACAGACCTAGAGAAGCCTCAGCTTGTGTTAGAAGCAGAGCTGGAGCAAGAAGCCAGGTCTCTCTTAACTCTACTAGTCTTGCTCTGTAGGTAAGTGTGGCACCCACGGGGCAGAATGCTGGGTGTACAGTGGGTGCTTGACAAAGTTGGCTGATAGCCTGACGTGCAGCACGCGTCTACAGGCAGTGGAGGCCACAGCCCTGGGCGGAGCTGGTGTGGAGAGAAGGGAGAAGTGAATGTGGGCAGGAGCTGACCCCACAGGGTGGAGGTACCAGCGGAAGACGGCGCTGTCAGAGAGCCTTTGTGAAGCGCTTGCTGCAATATTGCTTACCCCTCCTCCAGGCCAGTCTTGAGCCCTGAAGGGTGTGACCATAGCTTGTCTTCTCTTGTCTCTGCAGAGAACGGAAGGCTCCCTTGATGGAACTTAGGGCTGCGAGGACAGATGTTCCTCCTTGGAAGGACACCCATGTTCCAAGAAGAGGAGATCATTCCTGTATTCCAAGAGCTCTGTGCATTTATTTATGAAACTGCCCTGCTCCCACTGAACAGAGCAATTCCTCAGGCCAAGTCACCAGTTCTGAAATCCATCTGCCTACATTTATGGGGGGTATAAAGAGATACGGAGGGGCTGGTTAAGTCCCCCCACAGCGCCCCCCTCTCACCAAGCTGGGGCATCCTCAGGAGTGGGGAGCCGCAGAAGGAGGTTCAGGGTTAAACGGCCATTGGGATATTTTGAAACTTGAATATTTTTGTCTTGCACGGAGATCAAGAACTTGTCCAAGTATCTTCACACACAGAAACCATTTTTTTGTTTTGTAGCCAATCGCTTCTAGCGAATGGCTGGGCTGAGGGGCTATTTCTCTCTCTCTCTCTCTCTCTCTCTCTCTCTCTCTTTGCCTTTGGTCCTTCAAAGGCCTGTGGTTCTGGGTGGTCCTTGTTCCTCGGAAGTGAACAGCACTGACCAGACGGTGCCCCCTGTTCCCTCCACGACCTCGCCTGCCACAAATGTCACAACAAAGCGGCTTGGGAGCGACCCCTTTGAGATGCCAACCTGAAGATCAGGTTCATTCCGGGCAATGCACAGAAGAGAAAATGAAGTCGGACAGAGCACAGATGTTCTTATGCTGTTTTTCTATACCCTTTCTTTCTTTTCCTTTACCATGCTGCAGGCTGCAAGATGGGAAGATGTTTGCCTACAGCAAATATTGTTTTTAATAGAAAAATGAAATGCGTATTTTTCTTACTAATTTTTTTTTAATTTATTCCTTGCTAAAGAAATGGTCCCCTGAGGTCTTACGATATTTCTGAGGGTGTCTTGAGGGGGTGGACGAGTAGCCGCGGCCATTTTGCGGGGGAATTTCACCAGTGAGCACACCTAGCCGAGATCATTTTCCCCCCACGTCCCGTCCACCTCAGTGACACAGCTGCAGGGTATTGCACTAAATAAATTTGATCTTTACTCTTCACAGACCTGTGAAATGTCATCTTCTAAGAGGACACGTACACCTAGAATATCTGTAGTGCTTGAGGACGCCTCGGGCCTTCTGAAGTCACAAAGAACCAAGCAGGTCTTATCAGGTTGTCTCACACAGGCCAAGGGCCTCCGTGGCCTTTATTGAAGGCAGGGCCAGAGGTAGTCTGAACGTCAAACACTGAGTCATTAATATCCATTGGCTGCGATTCAGCGTTTGCTTCCCAGCCAAAGACTGCCAGGCTGTCCCTGGCAGATAGGGTTGCCAGGTTGAGCAAATAACACCAACAAAAAACACCGAAACACCCAGGGTGCTCAGTTAAATTTGAATTTCAGGTAAACAATGAATCTGCTTCGGGTGTAAGTATGTCCTATATAACATTCGGCTTATACTTACACTGTAAAAGTATTCATTTATCTGAGAGTCAAATGTAACTAGGCATCTCATTTTATCTGGTAACCCTACTGGCGAAACACCCCCTCCTATCCCTCTAAGCCATCCTCAGTGGCCTCAGACCAGACCTCGCTGCCCTACAGCCCAGGTCCCCATCAGAACAGCGCCCCACTGGGCCTGAAGGCAGAGGGAGATAGGAGTGTATGTCCTAGTTCTGCCACATTGCAGCTGTAGGAACTTGAAGGAGCCTCTTAACCTCTGAGCTTCAGGTTCTTCACTTCTACAATGAGGAGCTTGGACCAGGGGTTCTTAGTATCTGGAGGGTTTAGACTCCTTTGAAAATATGATAAAAGGTATGAATCCGTGTGCGTACACACACGAAGTTGTAGCACGAAAATGTTATATAATTTCCCCGGGTTCCAGAGCCAGGCATGGACTCAGGGTGGAGCCCCAGAATGTGATGGTCTGTATTGAACTTCAAGCCTGAAGGTTGATGTGTTGATGATCTGGGGAGAGCCCAGAGCCTCCGTGTCAACTCCTCAGTCCCTGCTGTCACCAGAGAAGGGCCATTGCCCTGGAAGCTGGGAAGACCCTGTTCCTGATGCTTATGACTTATTTATGGAACACAAATGGATCTTTGTTTTCCCCCTCTTGTCTATATTTCTGGGGCGGGTGCGGGGGAGGGGGGAGCCACACACACAGGGATCTTTCGTAGTAGATTCAGAAAATAAAAACCCAAGACTCTGGTTCGGCTGTCCTAACTCTAGGGCATAACCAAGCGTCTAAACCTCCAGAGCTCATCACTATGGAAGAGCTTCAGTCACCCTTTCTGGGAGTGGCTGGTTTTCCTCTGTGTTGGAACTTGTTAGAGCTCCCTCTCGTGTCCTTACATCGTCATAGGTCATTAAAGGACTTAACCACTCTTTTGCAAACATGTAATAGATTTTGGTGGGGGGGGGGGCTCTTTTGAAGATCCACAAGAGGTCAGCCACCCATTTCAGGAGCCACCCACTCCATTAGCATTAATTGATTACCTGAATTTTCACTCCCTGACATAGATGCAAGATTGGCAAAGTGACTCCAAGGTCAGCATTCATCCATTAAAGCGGTGGTTTTCTATCAGGGTGATTTTGCCTCCCAGAGTCACTGGACAGTGTCTGGAGACATTTTTAGTTGTCACCACTGGATGGGGCGCTACTGGGATCTGATGGGTAGAAGCCAGGGACGCTGCTAAATGTCCTACAATGCACAGTCCACCATAACAAAGAATTATCATGTCCAAAATGCCAATAATGCCTGCGTTGAACCAACCGGTTATTTATTTATTTTGATTCCATCACGCTCTATTTTCCTGACACTGTTGGGAATAGGCCAGCTTATAAGAATCACTTGGCCTCTACTCCTCCTGGAACACACAATCCAGTAGAGCTATAGATGAGTAGAGTGCCCATTATAGCAGGCAGGACAAGGACTGCAGTGGAGAAAGTCAAGGCCAATGGGGGCACAGGGAAAGGGCTCCTTGAACACTGACATTAGGGAATCAGAGAAAGTGTCCAAGGGGAAATCGTGTCTAACCAAAGACCTGAGGGTAGGGAGAATACCAGGTGGAAAAGGTGGGGTGAGCATGGCTGACCAAGGGGGCAGAGTGTGTGTGCTAAGACCTTGAGGCAAAGGAGAGGACAGTGCCTTCAACATAGCAGGAAAACAGCCTGTCAGCCCTCGGTCCTTTCCAGCCCAGGGATCAATTAGTCCTCTTCAAAAAGCCACCATTGTCCCTTGAAATTTCTGCCAGGAACCCCACTGGCCTGACTCAATCTTTGAGAGTCTTCAGGAGAAGCTTCCTGAAAGTTGCTCAGCCAGCACTCAGTTCCTGAGCACGGTTGTTTTTAAGACTCCCCGTGTGTGTTATTAATATGTTGGAGAGAAATTCTCTGCTGCAGGATCAGGTTCTGCCTTTGCTCACCACCACATGGCTCCAGTGAAAAGGAGAACTGGGGGGAAATGGAGGCCCAGCCACTTGAGGACAGCCTCCACAGCGGGGGTCCACAGAGTGGGGATGGTGGTAAGGGACAGTGTCTGTGAACACCGTGAGAGTAGGGGCAGGAAGTTGTGAGAACATGCCATTTTCTGGAAGTCGGTCATGGTTTTTATCAGTTTCCCAGAGACATGGTCCAAAACAAGGTTAAGAACTACAAAATAATTAACAACTCAAGTGTGCTCCATGTGATTTGATGTCTGTTAAGAACTCCAAAAGAGTGGTTAGCCCATTTTCTTCTCAAAGAGTCTACTTTGTGGATTGTTTTAAGTCCAATATCCCTAGAGGAACTTGGCTTGCCTTTAGAAAATGGCTCAAAATAAATAAACGGTGATCTCAGTGTTAAAAAGAGACAGCCCTCATCTCCCAAAAGTAATGAGCTATTAGGTTATTTTTGGTACAGCAAAGGAATAGGTGGTAAATTAATTTAAAACTTTCATAGTCCAAAGTATTTCTAAAACCTTCATACGGATTTCACAATTCAAACTGATAAAAGCCAACATGCACTGATAAAAGTTTCAACATGAACTTGGAGAGGAGAAGAGAAAAATGATTTCCATGTTTGCAGAGCATGAAGGAAAAGCCAAGTTGCAACAGGGGATTAGCTACCAGTTGATTCTGTGACCTTGGGCTGTCACACATCTTAGAGTTCTTCTACAAGAAGTTGCATTCATTTTCTAGGGCTATCATGGCAAATTATCACCAACTCTGACTTAGAACAACAGAACTTTATTCTCCCACTGCTCTAGAGGCCAGAAGTCCCCAATCAAGTTGTCCACAGGGCCGTAATCCCTTCAAAGTCTCTAGGGAAGACCCCTTCCTTGCCTCTTCTAGCTTTTGGTGGTTGTTGGTAAGCCACAGCATCCCTTGGCTTGCAGCTACATCACTAATCCTGGCCTCTGTCATACAAGGCATTTCTCCATACGTATCTGTGTCTGTGTCTTCACATGGACTTCTCTAAGGAAAGCAGTCATTGGAGTTAGAGCCCACCCTAATCTAGGATAACCCCACCTTTACTACTTACATCTGCAGAGACCCTATTTCCAAAGAAACTCACGTTCTGAGGCTCCAGGTAGACATGAATTTTGGCAGGGGGTGGT